AGAAGAAGATAAGTGGTTAGATAGATCAATGGATGGATGGATCAATGGATGGATGGATGGATCAATGGATAGATGGATGGATCAATGGATGGATGGATGGATGGATCGGATGGATGGATGGATGGATCAATGGATGGATGGATCAATGGATGGATGGATGGATCAATGGATGGATGGATGGATCAATGGATGGATAGATCAATGGATGGATGGATGGATGGATCAATGGATGGATGAATAATAAATCCATGGATGGAAGTATATATAAAATGGATGAGTGGATAAGTGGATTAGTATGTAGATTAGTAAATAGACGTATACACTGGTGAATGGCTGAGTGCTTGTAAAGCTAGTTCAATGAATGAATGGATGTAACGTAAAGAAAAGATCAAAGAATGGATCAATAGATGAATACAGATAATACTCTAATAGGATGGATCAAAGGATCTATAGATATATAATGAATACTAAGTCATATTTTTTTATCACCTATCTGTCTTATGTTGGTCTGTCTGTCTATTGACACGTCTCTCCAACCAGTAGTCTGTCCCAACGTCTGTATATCAGTGTAAATGTATCACGAAAAGAGATGCACACACAGTCAGACATGTCGAAAGTCGAAAAGAGGGAGAAAGGCGAAGACGGTGTGTATACAAGAGAAAAAGAGATGAAAGGGTTGAAACCTTGCCTTGCTTTGCGAGACAAAAAAAAAATCGTCACGTTTAACCATCATCCCCCAGGCAAAGTGGGGGGGGGGGGGGGGGGGGGAGGTTTTGGTTATAACTGTGACTAGGTTTATGAGCGCCATATAAAATGACTTAACACTGCTAGCCAATAGAAGCCCTGAAAAAGACTCTAGACAGACAGTGTAGATGTGATCAAGTGAGGCAGACCAAAATACTGGCCTCACCGACGACGAATGGGCGACCAAGTTGCCGATGATGAATGGTTGAAAAAGTTATACAAACATTTTTTTCTCATTCTCTCTTTCTCTCTCTCTCTCTCTCTCTCTCTCTCTCTCTCTCTCTCTCTCTCTCTCTCTCATTGCCAATGAACTACACCTGCATCTTAAACCGAACCACTGCAATCGCAACATAAACATTAAACAGTTAGGACGCCAAAAAGCTAACTGATTTCTCACAACTTGTGTGCACTCATGCGTGCAGTAGCCGCGAAGCTGGAACCGTTTTTGTCGCGGAGGGATGGCCATTTTGTTGGTGTACTCTAGGCCTAGCTCCATGATACCGGCATCGTAGTTCCTCAAGTGTGACGTCACGTAGAAGCGAATACCAGAGCTGTCCAAGCGACCTGCAAGAAATGGAAGTGAACTGTCACAAGGTGTAGAAGACGAAAGATAGAACAAGAGTGAGGTATCTCTACTTCCTTGTATCTTATTGTAATCACCTATTATAATGCAGCGTTCGCCTGGCTTAAGAACCAGCTGAGCATATAGTGACTAAAACTGATTCGTAAAGCATACTGAGAAATTAGTTAGTTAGTTAGTTAGTTGGGTTATCATCATTGCACTCCGGACATGTCCATAGGTGCTCAGATCCTCCCCTCAGTATGAACCCCAACGTCCGATGGCTAATAGTACCAGTTCTATGTTGATTAACAAGTCTTCTGACGTGTCCGGTGTGCGTCTCGTTTTTTGCTGTGCCGATCTTAATTCCCAAGCATACTGAGAAATGTAGAGTGGCAAGCATCGCTTCAGAGATCCCGGGTAGATAGCGTCCCTTCGATGTTTTCTCCAAGGTATACAAATGTGCCGGGAAACGAACAGATAGACTGACTAGCTGGTTCTGCACCGCGAGGTGGTAAACCGATGCATAACAAACTAGATGTTTTCTAAGCCCGTTGGGAGAGAGTCAAACCGTGAGGAGGCACCAACAATCGGCGCTGTCTGAAGAGAATGGTGCAGTGGGGGAACGACCAGGGAACCTGAGCGAAACTCAACACTCAGGAGAAAGATGAGGCAGACACACATTCAAGACTGCAGCTGCTGCCATCGGAACTGGAAGTCTGCGTTGGCTGCTGAAGATGACGGAGCGCTTATGGGAATGTTCCGATTGCTTTGATGTCTGTTCTTTACTCAGCTCAATGCAACTCGACATCTCATGGTAGCAGAGAAAAGGTAAAACACATTTGTTAGGTACCACTACACCATAGGGTATAATAATAAGACAAAATAAACAGGTAAGGTACCCCTATACGTTTCTTTTGTGTGTGTCATCATCATCATGTAGCAGGTCCTTTGCAGAACGTCGCTCTCAGCACGGTCTGCCTGAAACAAACTCGGTCTCTCGTCATCTCTCACGACTTGTGTACTTTTACATTCAAGGAGTCACTTATATCATGTGCCCATCTTCGTGTTGGTCGGCCCCTGCTGCTCCTTCATGGAACTATACCTTCTGCTATTATTCTGTCCAATCCCTCATTGCGCTTTATATGACCAAAATATTATTTCAGCTTCCGAGGAAAGATGCTGTTTATTAGCCAATCTTCTTTGATGTTCAGATCTTTTGAACTGGTAGTATTTCTTCTCTTCCTTGTCAATGGTATTCTGAGAATCTTTCTACAGCATTTCAGCTCAAAAGCCCCTATTTTCTTTCTTATGGACTGGGAGATAGTCCACTACTCACATCTGTCTGTTGCTATAGAGAAGACAAATGTGTATGTTAGGTAAGTTTTATCATTAGAGATAACGTTTTTTGCATGTAATACTTTACTGATAGTTGCTGACTGAAGGCTTTTTGTACGTAGTAGTTTGTTCGTTCGTTCGTCCATCACAAGTGATGGGAACCACTCTTTCTTTCATCTATCATGAAACTGCAGTTAAAAGTTTGTGAGTGGGGAGGTGACTTATAAATCTAGCACGTGCCTCGTAGAGTCTAGGGCAAGAGGGCAGGGCAGAGTGTCTGTAAATGAAGTGCTTGTTCGACGGTTTTTTCTTTTTTTTTCTGGCCTGTTCGCTGTTCACTTAAAAGTGACAGAATGTTGGTTCTCATGGTTTCTGAATCCAACCAGATAGAGTGATTGCGGAACAAAAATTTTGTTTTGAGGTTTGAAAAACAGATCAACATCATGACACACAGGTATTAACCCATAACTGCTTCGTTCTTTTCTTCTAACTCAAGTCTGAGTCCGAAGAAACTCAGCACAGTGCACAGGCTCCGTGGCACCGGCGAGGATCCTGAAATACTTTGGGTAGATTTTAAACTCCTAATTTTGCCCGGACAGCGCCGTTAGGCTACTCTTTTCGACTTCCAACTGACAAGGGATTTTTTTTACGTGCGCTACAATGCACACGGGCGTCCGATCTCACTAGCCAGATACAAGGGGGAATTACTAGAAGTCCACGTGAAAAAAAATCATAGCACTTACCGGGGATTGAACCCGGAACCTCTAGCACTCGAGGCGGATATAATGCCTCGAGACCAGGCAGCCCTCTAAAAATGGTTCTATCTAACGGTAAAGCAAATAGGTGGATATGTCTAGCATCTAACGGTTTCTGACCTGTGGCCTTCCTTGGATTGTTGAAGTGGACTTCCAACAAGGCAACCCTCGACCAGTCACGACCTCCTACAGGAACACCAGCTTCTTCTGGGTAAATCATCGCCTTTGGGAAGAGGACGAGAACACTGGCTTGTTACATCAATCATAAAGTGTGCTAACAAAGGTTTTAAGAACACACATCAATGAATGTGGTGACGATGAAGATGATCGTGTCGATAAAGGCTTTTCTCTGGCGGTACGCAGCAGTACGCAGTTTTTCCTACAGCAGCCGTCGTGTCGCCGCGGCTACACGCTTATCTGCGGATCTGAAGGTCGTGTGTTCAGGTTCTGACGTAGTTAGACTTTGTGTTTTTTTTTTTTTTTTTTGGAAGGTGTGGAAAAAGGTGATTTACTTTTATGATGATGATAATGATGATGATATACCGGCAACCGCTTAGCTGAATTTTTGGAACAAAACGAGTTGATAGTTTACCCGTGCGCCCATGGCCCAAGCACCGATAACTCTCCTACAGACATCAAGACCTTCCGGTTGACCTTCGGACATTCCCGGTCCGCTGTAGGATGGCAGACGATGACCTAAAACATTAAAATTGAGTAAGTATTTATCAGTGTCTAGATCATTAGTTGTTAGCGCCCCTTGAATATATCGCCAGACTCCCACTCCCACACATCGTTAAAAAAAAAAAAAAAAATTTCATTTTAAAAAGACAAAAAATAAAAATTCTAAGCATAATTGACAAGATCAGGTAGAATAACAATCACTTTATTCAAAGTTTCAAAGAGTTAATAAGAGTTTTAACTGTAGACAGAAACGTCAATGGCTTTTACGTTGTATTTTTAGTTGTTAAACTACAACTTAAACTAGCATCATATACTTATTTATCTCAAGGTGCGGAGCTGAGACCCTTCACTTCTGCTGCTTATTTGCTTGCCCTTAACGGGGTGGTTAGCACTTTGTTTAAAGCTTGTCCGCGATAACTCCCTCTTTCGGCCCAACACAACCAATTCAGGAATCCATAATTATGGCTATAGCAGTGCTTCCCAAACTTTTCTCAGCCGCAGCGCCTTTTTTCCCCTTCAAAACACTTGTTTCCACGGCGCATCGTGTACTTTCAAATATTTCGCGGCAACCCTGTGAAGAGGTAGCGGCTCCCAGGGGCGCCACGGTTCACAGTTTCAGAATCACTGGCTTACGGTATTCTTGTTAAGGCAAAGTGGGTTTCCCCATACCCCCATTTTCTCCCCCCCCCCCGCCCACGAATGGGACATCGAACCCAGACGGAGACACTAAGTAATGTTTTTCAGTTCAGCGCCCGGCTCTGGCAAATGATGAGATTGTAAATGACCTGACGGAAATGTCATGGTATCAGCTGCCACAAGGAGCCACCCTGAAGAAATATAATGGCATGTTAATTAGATACCTAGTTAGTTAATCGACAGATTATCTTCACTTCACATAAGACTATTCAGTCTATAAGCGCTCGGATCGCCTCCTCGGTAACTCCTGCGGCTTGTAGCGGCTGATGACACCAGTCGTGTGTTGGCTTATTGTTCTTCTTTCCAGCATAGTGCTGTTGTCCGACCACAACCCCTTTTAACATGCTCTTCTTGCCGTCTGGCTATGGCTGCAGATTCACAGTCATCACCTGGTTCTCGCAAACGTCTGACTTCTTTGAAAGGATTCATTATATCAGCTTGGTCCATGATATAATGGCATATGGCAAGGGGAAGACCAAGCAAGACATAGAACGACGACGCTAATAATAGCCTTAAAGAAATTAGGAAAACTTTTACTACGCATTTGAAAGAGCACACACATGTACCTTACCCCCTCCCCGCCAACCACGCCTCCTCAACTAAAACTTCGATAAAATAACTTGAGGAAGTCGAGACAGAAAAGGAGAACCAGCGCTCACAAAACTTGTAGAATTGTAATTAATCAACTTTACGGGTCGCTGATTGAACTACAACAGACTGTGAAGTTCATCCCAGAGACAACATTGCGGATGTTCATAATCTATTTCAAGTCAAGGACAAAAAAAATAAGAGAGAAAAAAAAAAAAAAAAAGGTATTAATAAACGGAAATAGGGTTCCCCGGTTTAGGCTGCATCATTTATCATCCTATCAGTTTTTATTTAAGGACTGAAAAAGTAATTGTTTCCGTATAGTTTTTTAAAATTTGAAAATCAAATTAAAAAACAGTCGCTCCTCTTCTACCTTGGGGTGTGGAAGTTTGCTAGAGAGATCGCCAGACTTCTCTATCTACAGTTTTCTTGCTTTGTTCCCTTCGAGTCCTTACAGAGGACTATCGGATGTTTTCTTCCTAGTGAACCTCGGGAAGAAACCTTCAGCAGCGGCCGGGAGGGAAAAAACAGCCAGTCAGTCTTATAACAGCACCCTGATAACAGCACCCTGATAACAGCACCCTGCTAACAGCACCATGGTAACAATACCCTGATAACATACCCTGACAAAATCACCTCTGATAACGGCGCTAGATAACAATACCCCGACAACAGCACCCCCTGATAACAGCACTCTGATAACAGCATCATGAAAACAGCACCCTGTTAACAGCACCCTGATGACATCACCCTGATAACAACACACTGGTAACAACACCTTGATAACAGCACATTTATAACAGCAGATGGAAGATGTAATATACAGTTGCAAGCAGAATCGCCAAACAAAGGCATCAGTTTACAAAATGAAGAATATTCTATGCAATCTTTCTTAGTCAGTTGAGACGAGAAAGAGAATTATCAATAGCTGTATATATCCTATCCCGATATACGAAAGGAAATCATCGACAGTTGCGTGATAAGTGAACAATTATTTGCAAGCTGTGAAGATTTGGTTGTATAGACGAATAATAGGATTACCCTGGACAGATAAAAGAGTAACAAAGATGTCTAGAGAGACACTGACTCACTAAGAGAACTTATTGTCTATATCAGCAGGAGGCAAACTGACATTCTTTGGTCATGTCGTTGAGTTGAGTTGATTCGAAAACCGACATCACAGCACTCGGAGCATTACTAGAAGTGCTCCGTCCCCATCTTCAACAGCCATCGCAGTGTTCCGATACCTATGAGGCCAGTGGCAGGTTTCATCTGAGCGTCTAGTATCGGCCAGATCTCCTTACTGCTCGCTGCATAACTCTCACCAGACTGATGCTCAGTTGCTGTTGAATTGTATACATGTCCCATAAGGCTTTAACCACGTCTGCCTTATTGTGCATCAATATTCCCACCAGGTTGTGCAGAGCCAGCTAGTCTGTCCGCCTGTTCTCAACACGTCGGCATTACCGGAGAAAAAAATCCAGAAATCGCTCTTCACCCGTGATGGTCATGACGTGAGAAGGAGAAAGCTAGAGAACAGCGTGACAGTAGAAAAGTAGGAGCGGAAAAGAAGCAGAGGGTAATCGATAGAAAATAAGCTTTACAGTTTGACATCGTGGCATGGAAGATTGTCTGCGTCAGAACTGACTGAAAGCACATGAAACAGACGACCGTGGATAGACAGGACTACCAAGGCCACACCGGCACGGACTAGAAGGAGAATATGTCAGTCTGAAAGAGAACTTACGTGGGCTGACTTCGCAGTGAAACACTTCCATGTGATGGACCAGGTCGTGATTTCCTTCTGTGATAATCCCCTCGTACTGGCGGTGGAAACAGAGGTTGCAGAGAATGTTGTTACAGGCTTAGGGCATAATTCTCCTTCTCACGCACTCACTCACTCACTCACTCACTCACTCACTCACTCACTCACTCACTCACTCACTCACTCACTCACTCACTCACTCACTCACTCACTCACTCACTCACTCACTCACTCACTCACTCTTTCACTCACTCACTGACTCACCCACTCACTCACTAACTCACACACCGAATGACTGACTGACTCACTGACTCACTCACTCATTCACTTATTCATTTATTACTGATTAACTAATTCACCCACTATTTGACTGATTGACTGACTGACTGACTGACTGACTGACTCACTCACTGACTCACTGACTCACTGACTCACTGACTGACTCACTCACTCACTCACTCACTCACTCACTCACTCACTCACTCACTCACTCACTCACTCACTCACTCACTCACTCACTCACTCACTCACTCACTCACTCACTCACTCACTCACTCACTCACTCACTCACTTATTACTGATTAACTAATTCACCCACTCATTGACTCACTCACTGAATCACTGACTGATTGAGAAGTTTTTACCTAGTTTTCAGATGGGACAGGGAAGGACACTTTATGTGATTTCCACTGGCACACAAACGGAGCAGTTATGAGGGGGGGGGGGGGATCCGTCTGCAAAGATGTTACAACTTTGACTAAAGACTAACAAAGGGACACATACACATAAACACACCCCCCACAGAAACATATACACAAGCACGTACGTACGCGCACGCACGCACACACACAAACGCATACATGTACAAACACAGCCATTTCCCAGTTACCTGTATAAAAAGGTCCCTTTTCCACGCCTTTAGCCGGGAACATAGAACTAGACCTATATTTTTATAGACCAATCGGCACTCGGTGGGTGATGTAGTCAGCATCATGCCTGCCGCCTTTACTTCACAGGACTGCATCTGGTACTCACTTAAGACTGGGTCGACTTGGGAGTCAAGGTCATTTTTGAAAAAAAAAGTCAGGACGCGAACCTACGACCTTCCGATCCGCAGGCGGGCGTCTAGCCGCATACGCCACGGCGACACACGCTTGGTCCTCTAATTTAATTAATTGGTCCTCTCCCATTGTTTGGAAAACAAGACTAGACCCACTGCCTCCCCAACTAGCATGTTGTAAGAGTCGACTAACTGTGGGCCTTCTTTAAAGTCCGAGGGCATCTGCCTGAGATGCAAGGAACTGAAAGTTTGCATACAAATAATCAAGATCTGTAAAACGGATGCACACGCAAAACGCAGTTCCTGGAACAAAGCCAAAGTTCAGAAATGGTGGGTTTACAGTTTGGTGAACGCTAACCACAACAATTATTTAGTCCATTGTAGATCTACTGTCTCTGCATCCTGACTAGGTTTTAATGTGATTTTTATCCATGTGGAAAGTAATCCCTTTTTCAATGGCTTGTTTCTGTTGCCTGTGAATTTCTGCTTTTTTTCTATACGGGTAAAAAAAGGGTTTAGGAAACGATTCGTCCAAGAGAAAGCCACATGCCAGCGCCGATGAGAGATGCCAACAATGCTGAACCTAATTCCATAAATGATATCAAAGTGAGTGGAGTGGAGACATTGACTGTGAGCCCTGTGTGACAAGGGTGGCCGTTTTCGCCGGGACAGTTCCGTTTTTAGGTGTGTCCCGGCCGTCCCGTCGGTACTCGAACAAAACGTCTATCGTTCCGTTTTATAAAAATCTAGGGATTGTCACGAGAATAGAAGATACACTTATCAGTAGACCTGATTAAATTTGATACTTTTTTTCAATGTATCATGTTTTCCCCCAGTAGTTAAAGAGCATATTGTTTTGTTCATTTCATGGACGACAATGGTTCGCGTTTTAATACAATTGTCAAGCGAGTATAAACTCTCTCATCCCAATGAAATATAAAAGGAGGTGGGGTTGGGGTTGGTTAAACTAGCCTGCATGGAATGTCCCGTTCTCAGCTCAAAATAATAAGGTCACTCTACACGTGACACCTTTTGTTTTTTTTCTTAAAGTCTATGCCATATGGCGTTGGTAGTCATGTATATCCACAACCTTCTTGTCTTGTGTACTTGCAATCAACTCTGACACAGATGATCTTCCATGCCATGATGTCAAACTATCGAGCATCTTTTCTCTTGGTCTCCCTCTGCCTCTCCTCCCCTCCAGCTTTCCTACTGTCACGATGTACTCAAGGTTACTTCTTCTCATCACATGACCAAAGAATGTAGACTGTCTCTTTTTGATGTGGGTAGTCAGTTCTCTTTGTGAGTCAGTTATTGCATAAATGGCTCAAAAGGACAATTACTAAAAATGTAACTTGTATAAACAAACACTGCTGTTAAAAAACCGAAGCTGCACTTCACCTCTGGTAGTTTGACGTCGAAGGTCCAAGTATCTGCAGGGACATCAACGCTAGCAATCTCTGGTTTCAGAATCTGTGTTCTCTGAACTCCATGACGTAACTGTGTGACGTCAGTACCAAAAGGCAAACCAGAAGAGGAATCCGACTCAACGAAAATCACATGGGTGGTCCCATTCTTTGGATAAATAAAATATATACTGTAGTTATAACATGCCTATTCGAGCTATGTTTCGTTGATACACATTTCTGTAACCTATGTTGCCATTTCAGTGGTTTTAGATGAATTCTGACCGTATTCCATAGTTTTGGATTTAAAATTGTTGGGGGTGCCTAGCTGACCATGTTCTTAGTCTACTTGTTTCCAAAGCAAGGTGCACAAGCCATTTGGAGGTGACAGGTTCGATTCCCGGCACGGAAACTATAGCTCTCGATTGTTATGTTGTCTAGTGTGTTCTAATGCTTTCGACTTCTTTCTATGAATGCCAGTCAATACAATGTCTTTTTATTACATTTAAAAAAAAAATGATTTATTTGTGACGTCGTCCGTGTTGCAGTAGTTCGCCTACAGTTTTCACAATGGCGACTGACTGGTGTTCAGGTAACGTAAGATTGATAAGATACGATGGTAATCGACTAAGACTAAGGTTAAAGCATCACGCTTAAGGGTAATAAGGTGAGATGACCGGGGTAAGACTGGTAAGTCGACTGGAGCCAAGAAGCCATCACATCACTTAGGATATTCGCATAAGCGCTCCATCCTTATCTTCAGCAGTCAGTATAGTTTCAATTCCGATGCTACCAGCAGTAGTCTAGTTGTTTATATGACCGTCTTGCCTTTCCTCTGAGTGTTGGACATCAGCATGATGCCCTGGTCACACCCCCCCCCATTTTCGACCATTCTCTCCGCACCGTAAAAATCAATTCTCATTCCCGCATTGTTCAGTGGCTGCCATAGGCCTTGAGCCCATATACGTAAGATAAATGCCGTAAAATGGATAAGGTAAGATGGAAACGGTAATACTGATGAGGTAAGATGGATAAGGTAAGATGGAAACGGTAATACTGATGAGGTAAGATGGATAAGGCAAGATGGTAATACTGATAAAGTAAGATGGATAAGGCAAGATGGAGACGGTTAAACTTGTAAAGTAAGATGGAAACGGTAAGATGGATAAGGTAAGATGGATAGGGTAAGATGGACAAGGTAAAATAGAAACGGTAAGATGGATAAGGTAAAATAGAAACGGTAAGATGGATAAGATAAAATAGAAACGGTTAGATTGATATGGTAAAATAGAAACGGTAAGATGGATAAGGTAAAATAGAAATGGTAAGATGGATATGGTAAAATAGAAACGGTAAGGTGGATATGGTAAAATAGAAACGGTAAGATGGATAAGGTAAAATAGAAACGGTAAGATGGATAAGGTAAAACAGAAACGGTAAGATTGATAAGGTATAATAGAAACGGCAAGATGGATAAGGTAAAATAAATACGGTAAGATGGATAAGGTAAAATAGAAACGGTAAGATGGATAAGGTAAAATAGAAACGGTAAGATGGGTAGGGTAAAATAGAAACGGTAAGATGGGTGAAGTAAAATGCAAACGGTAAGATGGATAAGGTAAAATAGAAACGGTAAGATGGGTATGGTAAAATAGAAACAGTAAGATAGGTGAAGTAAAATGCAAACGGTAAGATGGATGACGTAAGATTTGATTTAAAAATCGACCTCACAGCATTCCCATAAGCGCTCCGTCCCCATTTTCAGCAGCCTGTGCAAAATTCCAATACTAAAGGTACCAGCAGCATTCTGATTGAACGTCCGTCTTGCCTTTCCTCTGAGCCTTGAGCATTGGCCAGAAACCCCCTGTCACTCCCCGCTGCATCAGTCTCGCTAGACTATGGCTATTCATCTTCTCCTTGTACACGCTTTCCCACCAGGCACTAAGCACGCCTGTCTTATCATACAACAGTATTCCACCAAATTGTGTAGAGCCAGCCAGTCTGTCCGCCTGTTCATTTCCCAACACGCCGGTGTGACCTGGAGAAAAAAATCCAGACATAACCCCTCACCCGTGTTCTCCGCAGTGAAGCATGCCACTCTGCACAAAGCATGCCTGTCCTGACCTACCTCAGCGTGATTTCTGAGTCAGTTACAATCACGACGTGTGTGTGTGTGTGTGTGTGTGTGTCGCGTATTCTAACCAGCTGAATGCTGCAGTGACCGCCTCCAACTCCATTCTTAAGCTGGATGTTGTGGTATCATATGCTAGGCTCTCCTGCACAAAACGTCGACCATTAACTTTTGCTAAGAAACTCCATGCACTTTTTTTGCCTCTTGACACTGAAACGTCTGTGTGAATGATTAAATCCTCTGAGCGAACATTATCTTGAATTAAATGCTGAATTTTCACCTTCGTGGCACCTGCTGGCCAGTATCTGCATTCTCGGCTCAATATGATTATGACCCTACACAAGTCTGACTGTTCAGATGGCACCTTGACCCACTCCTCTCCTCGCCTAATATTCTCAAGGATGCAAACCTGTCTGACTGTGTCTTCTGCCTGTGCCATCCATGACTTCCCTCTTATCAGCCGCTGACCCTTTACTGCGACCAGAGCTACTTGCAAAGGGTGTCTGCCTGAGATATGACTTCGCCTGCAGCACCTTGTGCCTACCTGCAACTGTCGGCAAACCAAGGACGTATCGCATACACACACCCGGGGTGTCTGATGCAATTCAGAATGAACCGCATAGCTGCGTTCTGTATGCGCTCTAGTTTGTCCATCTGACTTTTTAAGGCGGTAAGCCATAATCAACCACTGACAGGATCAGGTGCTGATATAGTGTGAAAAAAATTCTCACCTCTATGTCAATTGCAGCGATAGTTTTAAGTGCACTGAGTCCTTTTTGGCACCTTGTCACAACACACTCCACATGGTCCTTAAAGGAAGGGCTCCTGTCAAATGTAATTGACAGATACCTCAGTTTGCTCTCTCTCTACAATCTGTCGTGAGACTTGGGACATTAGTTTTAACGATCATGTTGTCTAGAGAACACCAGAAAACAGACGCTTTTTCCGGGTGGACGACAGGCGCCATTTCTGTACACCACTAAGTCACTTTGTCTACTGTCGCTTGTAGCTCCCGGGCTGTTTGTTCCCTCTCTCCCCCCAGCCTATATGCAAGTACAGCTTTTGCAAAAGTCAGTATCCTTCCAACTCCTTGTGCTTCTAGGCTTGCAATTTTGCTAGCATACACGTTAAAGAGCACAGGCGAGATGGCGGATCCCTGTGGCAATCCTGGGCAAAACTGCATAGTCTGAGGTCCATGAGCCCAGTTGGAGAGCAACCCGACGTGAATACAGGACAGCTGCAACCAAATTCACCAGTCATGGACTGACCTTCTCCTTCATTGCAGTGATGAGGTAAGATGAAGACCGTAAAATGGATGAGGTAAGATGGATAAGGTAAGATGGAAACGGTAAGATGGATAGGGTAAGATGTAAACGGTAAGATGGATAGGGTAAGATGTAAACGGTAAGATGGATAAAGTAAGATGGAAACGGTAAGATGGATAGGGTAAGATGTAAACGGTAAGATGGGTAAGGTAAGATGGAAACGGTAAGATGGATAGGGTAAGATGTAAACGGTAAGATGGATAAGGTAAGATGGAAACGGTAAGATGGAGAGGGTAAGATGTAAACGGTAAGATCGATATTACAGGTACATTGTTTGTAACTCACATCCAAAATATAGTCGTTGGTATCACAAGTATCAAAAGCCCGGTGAAACTGGAGCACCACGTGACCTGGCGCCTCGGACACAAAGGTGAGGTTGTAGTCTTGCTGAGGATCTGGCAGTAGCAGGCCGTCTCCGTCCGTATGACCATCCTAAAAAAAATTAATCGGCTGTGTAGCAGTCTCTCTCTCTCTCTCTCTCTCTCTCTCTCTCTCTCTCTCTCTCTCTCTCTCTCTCTCTCTCCCTTTCTCAGTTTCCCCTTATCGCTTTCTTCCTCTTTTGTAGCCTATATTTTTATGCAAAAACTCTCCCCTCTCATTCTTTATCTGTCTCCATGTCTACTTTCTCTTCCTTTCCGTGTTTTCCTCTCTCTCTCTACTTTTAAAGATAGTCTTTCTTTCTTTTCCCCTTACTTCATTCTATCGCTCTCTCCACCTCTCTCTCTCCCTGTCTGTCTCTCTCTGTCTCTCTCTGTCTCTCTCTGTCTCTCTCTCTACTTTTAAAGATAGTCTTTCTTTCTTTTCCCCTTACTTCATTCTATCGCTCTCTCCACCTCTCTCTCTCCCTATCTGTCTCTCTCTGTCTGTCTCTCTCTCTCTACTTTTAAAGATAGTCTTTCTTTCTTTTCCCCTTACCTCATTCTATCGCTCTCTCCACCTATCTCTCTCTCTCTCTCTCTCTCTCTCTCTCTCTCTCTCTCTCTCTCTCTCTCTACCTTTCTGCCTTTCTCCCCCACTCTCTTGTTCATTTCCATTTCTCTGTCTCAGCCTCTTTTTATTTCTCCTTTCGCGTCTTCTCCTTTGACCCTCAGCTCTCTACCTCTTTCAGTCTTCCGCACACTTCTTTTCTGTAACCTATTTTCTCGCAAATTTAAACACTAGCAGGGCTATTCAATTACCGGCCCGCGGGGGCCTAGCAAGTGGCCCGCGGATCACTGCAAGTTGTATTTATTAATGGTTTTTCTATGCTTGGGTTCAGGCTTCTGGTCCGTGATTATCCCTATTTTCTAAATGTTGGCCCCTGAGTAAACTTATTTGAATAGCTCTGCACTAGAGGATCGACTTCATTGTACCAGGTATTATGACATACGACCTGAAACAGAACAGCTAGCCTCCTGCATAGAGAGCGTCGCACAAAGCACGAATACCGTAGCTCTATCGGCGATCCCCCTAACAGTTACAACTCATGGAAATAACGTATCGCAAGCAATCAAACCCTTACCACAAAGTGGTGTTTGTCTCCATCGCTTGTCCAAAAAGCTACAAGATCAGCGGCAGTTACGTCTCCGTAATCAGAGAAGCCAAACGCAAACCAACTGTCAGCGTTCACCTGTTGATCAATGAGTCACAGATAACACTGATTCTATCTAGTACACGCGTGTCTCATTGTATGTCTGTGTCTATCTATCTATCTATCTATCTATCTATCTATCTATCTATCTATCTATCTATCTATCTATCTATCTATCTATCTATCTATCTATCTATCTATCTATCTATCTATCTATCTATCTATCTATCTATCTATCTATCTATCTATCTATCTATCTATCTATCTATCTATCTATCTATCTATCTATCTATCTATCTATCTATCTATCTATCTATCTATCTATCTATCTATCTATCTATCTATCTATCTATCTATCTATCTATCTATCTATCTATCTATC